ACTTCCTGCAGATTTTAGAAGAAAAGACCCTGATTTGAGATTCTCGTTTTAGGGTTTTAGATATTTTCTTGTTTGATTTTAATGGAAAGGAAAAAAAAACAAAAACTGCACGAAGATTATCAGCTGGTGGAATCTGAAATCGAAGAAGAAAATGTGATTTTTAATACTTCCGACAACAACGTTTTGGGTTCGGTTTCTTCGTCTCCGACAACAACAACAATCCTAAACCCTAATCTCTCCGGCTTCATTACTACGGTTTGTCTTCGCTTCCAAAGCCCTAATATCTCCACATCTTTTTATTATTTTTTTTTCAAATTATAGTTTTGGGGTTTCATGTAGAAGGAGGAGTATGGGTCAATCGGGGCGGATACTGCAATCGGAACTCTGTCTCCTCCGGCTAAGAAGAAACGTACTCACAGACACACTGCTCGTCAGATTCAAGAACTGGAAGCGTACGTCTCGCCGTTTTTTGTTTTTTTATTAATCAAAAAGTAATTAGTGCTAAATTTTTAGTTAATCTGTGTGTTTATTGTAGATTCTGTAAAGAAACTCCTCTTCCTGATGACAAACAAAGAACAGAATTAAGTGAAAAAATTGGTCTTAATCCTTTACAAGTCAAGTTCTGGTTTCAGAATAAACGTACCCAAACCAAGGTAAAAAATTTCACTTTTTATTTATTTATATTAATCACTCTTTTTAAGTGTTTAATTTGGTTGATATAAACATGTTTAATACAGGCACAACAAGAAAAAGCAGAGAATGTAATGCTAAGAGCAGAGAACGAAGCTCTTAAGACAGAGAATCACAATCTTATGTCCGATCTAAAAAGCCTTTGTTGCTCTTCTTGCGGCAGCTCCGGCGACAAACTCCGCCTCGAAAACTCCCGTCTTCGTCAAAAGGTTTAATCTTTATATTCAAATGAATCGAATCCTTACACGTTGATATACTTAAAACGGTTTATTATATGATTTTGCAGCTTAATCTGTTAGAGAGCATTGCTTCGTTCATGAATACTCCTCTGTCTCTTTCACAGGACACTGTTTGTTTCTTCCCGGAGACTAATATGAACAACGATTTATCATCGCCGATTGCGGAAGAAGATAAGGCGGTTGTGATGGTTCTTGCTGTTTCTTGTGTTCAAGAATTAGTAAAGATGTGTTACACTAATGAGCCTTTGTGGTATGAGAAGAGATTAGAGAACAAAGAGAGTTTGTTGTATCTTAACGAAGATGAGTACAAGGAGTTGTTCTTATGTCCTCCAATGGATAAATGTCGTTTTCGCAGAGAAGCTTCAAGAGCTAATGGAGTTGTCTTCATGAACAGTACAACTCTTGTTAATGCATTTCTTGATGCAGTAAGAAAAAAAAACAAATCACATTTCTTGAATTACATTTTCAAAATCTCACAGTTATAACATTTTTGTGCTTTAACATTTTCTTGAAAGGATAAATGGTCGGAGATGTTCTGTTCATTAGTGTCAAAAGCCAAAATGATTAAGATCATTTCTTTTGGAGTTTCTGGAGCAAGTGGTTCTCTTATTCTGGTTAGTTATCAAATTATAACATTATAAGAAAAGTTTTTAAATTGTTACATAATGGAATATGTTTTTGTCTATTCAAAAAAGATGTATGCAGAGTTACAAGTACTATCTCCATTGGTACCAACAAGAGAAGGATATTTTCTTCGTTATGCGGAACACAACAAAGAGCAAGGAAAATGGATGATTGTAGATTTCCCGATCGATCGCTTTCACGGTTTGATCAAACCAGCTTCAGCTACTACTTCTACTGATCAGTACCGGAGGAAATCTTCTGGTTGCATCATTCAGGACATGCCTGACGAATACTCTCAGGTCACGTGGGTAGAGCATGTGGAAGTGGAGGAGAAACACGTGCACCACGAGATGGTTCGAGAGTATGTACAGAGCGGTGCGGCCTTTGGTGCTGACCGGTGGCTAGCTGTGTTACAGAGACAGTGTGAGAGGATGGTTAGTCTCATGGCTACAAACATAACTGACCTTGGAGGTACAGACTAACTTGTTCTTCAAGTAAACCTAACTTATTCTTCAAGTAAACCTAAACAATCGATGTGATTCGTTCTCTGTTTTCTCTCAGTGATTCCATCTGCAGAAGCAAGGAAGAACTTGATGAGGCTTTCACAGAGAATGGTGAGATCATTCTGTCTCAATATAAGCGATTCGTACAGACAATCATTGTCTGGATCAACAAAGGACACAGTGAGAATCACGAGCAGGAAAGTTGGTGATGGTCTTGTTCTATGTGCCGTCTCAACCACGTTTCTTCCTTTTTCTCAGCTTCAAGTCTTTAATCTTCTCTGCGATGATCATCGTCGCTCTCAGGTCAAACTCCATGATCTTCTTCCTCTGTTTCTTTCGATTCAAGAATCCGAATAATCGAAATTGAAATTTTTTTTCATACTGAAAGCAGGAGATTTTGTTCAATGGGAATTCAGTTCAAGAACTTGCTCATATCGCTAATGGATCACACCCCGGAAATTGCATCTCTCTGCTTCGTAACAATGTTAGTGATTTTTCAATAAATTTCGATTTTTTTTCGTAAAACCAACAATAAAAATTCGATTTTTAATACAAAAGGTTTGTTTTATTATCATAATTTTCACAGGTTGAGTTAATGCTGCAAGAAACTTGTACTGATAACTCCGGCTGTCTTGTTGTTTACTCCACCGTCGACCCCAACGTAGTCCAGCTCGCTATGAACGGCGAGGATCCATCAAAGATTCCTCTTTTACCCCTTGGAGCCTCTATTGTTCCGGTGAATCCATCCGAGGGTACTTTCGTCAATTCGCCTTCTTGTTTGCTCACTGTTGGGATTCAGGTCTTGACGAGCAATGTCTCCGACGCAAGACTCGACCTTTCCACCGTCTCCGCTATCCACAACCGTATTTGCTCCACCGTAAAACAGATCACCTCCGCCCTCGGAAGCTCCGACATCGATAATTAGGGAGAAGGTTTGGAGGGTATTTTTGGTAAATATTGCAGCTTAAAACTATATTTATTTTTTGGTGGGAAAGCTAATTTAGGTAGATAAACCGATGGTAAATTTTGAACCGGTAAGAAGGGTAAAACAGGAAATTAGCTTCGATATTTTTTAGGGGAAGTGAAGAACGCACCAAGGCAGGTAAATGCATGTGAAACCGGGTTTTCGTGACTGGTTCGGGTATTGACTTCCAAAACTTTCACGAACCAAACCGTTTGATATTATGGTTTTTTTTGTTGATGCTGCAATCTAATGATCTTTTTGTTGTTAATTTACTTATTATGGTTCTTTATATTTTTAAAAATCTTTGAAAATAACTTAAATTATGCAAAAAATAGCACGGTACGAAGATATCCGCAAATGGCGATTTTCGATAATAAAATTGTGGATATGAATCTAAATACTTTTTTCATTCCTAGTATAGGCATACTTAACATCCCAAGAAAATGGTAGCATGGATACTAGAAAAACAAAAACTTATATCTTTCCCACCGCATTTATATGTGATTTTTGTCATTTTCTTACAATTCGCATCACACATTTGAATCAAAATTAAAACACTACAAGAAAACAAGCATTATTCCGACGGAATTTCCGACGGACGTAATATCCGTTGGAAATTTCCGACGGCATGCCGACGGATTTCCGAGCAAAATGAATCCGTCGGAAATCCGTCGGTTTATTGTGACGGATTTCCGACAGACACGGAAACCGTCGGTATTCCGTCGGAARTCCGTCGCCTTGTCCCGACGGATTTCCGACGGAAATAAGCTGTCGTAATTTTCCGACGACTTTCCGACGGAATAACGACGGAAATCCGACTTTCCGATGTTGGCAAAGTTTGAGTGGTCAGCTCATACCGACGGAACTAATTCCGTCGGAATTATGTAACGGAATTCCGAT